TAGTACTAGTACTAGTACTACTGCTACCTACCGCTAAGTACTAGTACTACTACTAGTACTAGTACTCGCAGTATAGTAGTACCGGTACCATTTAAAAATGTGACGTGAAGGTAGCCAGATTGATCGTCATATTTCTCATGAAACGAATTTCTAAAAACAACGAATTCACAGCTCAATGTAATCTTAAATAAGTATATTTTGTATAATGTGCTTTGAAACGGTGTTTTTGTGAAGGTATTCACGAAAAAATCGCAATATTTGTTCACGTTTTTGACTTACGTGAAAGCTGTCGTGTTGGCGTGAAATCCCCCCCACCCGCGCAGCTCTCGAGGACGCGAGAAAACACCCGCAAAGTGATGACGTCAACACAGAAACTCTTGTCGATTCGCGTTCGCGTACACGTAATACGCCGAGCCGAACCTCTCTATTATGATGCGGTTCCGGTCGCATCGCGCCTACTCCCTAATAATCTGAGAGTAGCGGCAAACATCGGTGTGCACGCGCGTGACAGCAGCTAGCTACTGGTTTTGCGCGGCTCTACCGCGTGCAAACACACAGCGGTGTGGGCAAGGATTATGTTATAATACACGATAACATCTGCATGCTTACGTCATGCATCGATGAAATTAGACAGAAATCTGTATTCACATATATAAAGCTTATAAAGACTAATAACGTTTGAAGTCTGATTCTTAGACACTTAACATGCATCATCACTGATACCTTGATTGCCAGCTAACGTCACGCGTGTTCATATCAGGTAGCTGAAAACTAAGAATATGCCGAGTTCTATCGCGACGATTGATATCTCACTAGCTTGATGCAGTCAGTTTGGCGTCATCTCCTTCCTATGTGATAACTCACAATTTAGTGCTGCGCGCGCTCTCTCCCTCGCTCTCCCTCCCTCCCTCCACCTCTCTCTATCTTTCTCTCGCCCTCTTTATCGGCGGAAAAGTCGGAAAAGTCGGAAGCCTAACCTCACCGCCCCTCCCCTCTCTCTTTGTCTGCCAAAGTGCGCAAAATAGAAGGAATAATAAAAACTATGTGTTTTACTCCAGGTTTTCAATAGCTCACAATGTATTATAATGTGTATTTGAGCGTTGTAGGTTTTGCACGCCATCGATGCCACATATTTACATGCGAGTGAAGTCTCCGCCTGGAACTGTTTACGAACCCGTTGCACGACCATGCATGAAAACGTCTAAACAGTATTTCGCTTTTTGATTAGTCCGCTACAACATCAAATTCCATCACATTAAACATTAGCTCCGAATTAACAAGGAGCTAAATATAACTAATTATATTTATTTATATTATTTATATTTAGCTGTTATATTTAGCTCCTTGCGAATTAAAGGGATAGTTTACTCTAGGTTCTAGGGTTATTTTCAGTTAATTTAGGTTAAAATTACGCTACATAAAAAGTTTCAATGTTCAATCACCATTAGAAATATTATTAAAAAATGTTTTAAAACTAACGACTACAGTTTTATTACAATGACAGTGGCACCACTCAAAGCGCACGATCTGGTAAGTTGCGCAAAACCACTTTCCAGCCAAGGGCTACAGACTGAGGGTGTTTCTTATTTATTAATTTAAAAGCAAAAGGATTGTAATATCTTATAAACGACATATAATTTCAGTTATATTATGGATAAATTTGTCGTAAAATGAACATCGTTCGGTTAAATAACATTTAGGTATGAATATAATTGCACCTTTGTGATTAGCCCTCGGTCTGTAACGTGCAAAATAAATTGGCAAATACGCAACTTTTCAGGGTGGCAGCACGGTCGCGGGTGTTATGGCGCCGTTCAAATTCCGTAGCGTTGATGTGTAATTAATTATAACAATCAAATTAGGTATCTGGTAACAAATACATGTGGGTATAGACGATTTGTTATACGGTAAATACAGTTATATGCAGTAAAATCCTAGAGTCTACTATCCCTTAAAGTATTTGTGTACCTCATTTCGGGCCGAGTTCATTAATTTTTATGGCATTTGGTGGAATTTTTTTTACATTTCAGCTCCGGACTGCTTCTTTCGGTGCTTTCCGGTAGAATTCGATGTTCTCATAGCGCCTTTCGGTGTTTATTAGGTGCCTTACGGTGCCTTTCGGTAATTAGACGGACCCGTAACCACACATATATTTTGATTTGGCCTTATGAGCATATTTATATATGAGTATGCATAATATTTACAGTAATAATACTGTCATAATAATGATGCTATGTCTATATAATGTAATAGTAATAATGTCTGTAACAATAATACTGTCAGTATAACAGTAACTTGAGTAGGACTACAGATAGATACAATAATGTAACCCAAACCCAAGAGCATAGGGTTACAAAGCCTCCCTATCCTTTTGTGCGGAGGAAAGCCCGAGTGAATCACTCGGGCCGGTTTGCTGGTGCGTTTTCAGAGACTAGAACTTCCAAACTGGGTTTATTCTCAACACGAACCTTTCTCCGCTATCTGGGAACTTACTATGTATCGCAATACTCTCTAAAATTCGAAGTGACGAGCGGCGAATATTCTGAGCGCCATTTCTGTTGACCTGTGACGTACGCATTTCCCAATGCGCATAGCGATCG